AGCTTTCAGTCGTTCACTGCCTGAGCCTCGTGGGTCCCAGGAATACCGTCAGTCGGACGAGTTCCGTTGCAACTGGCGTCTGTGGAACGATGTCGTAGGCAGAAAATCCAAGCAATAGACGCATGGCAAGGAAAATATGAGCAGCATGGAGACAAGAGTTTGATAAGCGGACACAAGAACGTTGAAGTAACAAGACGAAAAATTAATGACGAGTGGGAAACGTTTGTTGATGCGATCACGCGATAGCAGATATATGTATGTTCTCTTCGCCATCTCGTAATCAAACTTTATGCTCTCATTGTTGCAGTTTTGCCTGATATTATATTCGTGAGCTGATGTGATAAGGTGTGTGTATGTATAGAATAAACACCGATGTCGTAGTGTTTATGGGAATATAAATACTGCTATAAAAACCGAGGCGTAGCCGAGGTTTTTATAGACAGTGTTTATATTCCCATAAACACAAGACAGAGGTGTTTATTCTATTTATACCTAGCTTCGTTTTTGGCCTGAAACACTGGTCCGAAATAGCTATTTTAGTATCCCAGTATACAATAGTATACTATTATGTGTAGGTAGTATTGCGTGTTCCAGACCTAAGACCTTTCTTTCAACCAACATCTGCATCAACACCCTGGTGGCTGGGTGGTCAAGATAGGTGCTTGGGAATCTTATGGTTGCAGGTTCGATTCCTGCTGAAACTTCTTTCTTCTCTTCAATTTTTTCTTTTTCAATTGGAGAGAAAATTTCTAAGTCCCTTGAAAGTTGAAAAGTTACAACCTCTAAGTGGGTAATATAGCAAAGTATATACCCCAAGTTAAAGTGGTAAATATGGAGATATAAGGGACCTTTCGCATTTGCTACGAAACGAATGCGAAACGAAAGTTTGATTCGGCTCGTAATCGTTTCGTTGAAAACAGATTTCAGGTTTCGCAAGTCGTCATGCAAATGTGCATGGCAACTACGAATACGGCCGCGGGCGCCGGTAGCTTGGCGTACGGGTTTTTACACGCACACGTGCATGGATCATGGAATCAAGGGAAAAATGTGTACCTTGCAAAACATGTGTACCTATCCAAATAAATGTGTACCTGACGGATTCGGAGCGTGCCACGAATGAAGAGGCCTCCATTCGTGAAAACGAGTTCTCCGCAGGGACTCTGACGAATCCTCGAACCCAGGTGACGAATCAGCATTCGTTTCGTATCCGTCAGCGGGGTGCGAAAGGTCCCTATATTCACCAGTTATAGACCACAGGAATTAGTGGGGGTTAATATGAGCTGGGTATAATAATGACTATTAGCTAAATGTAGTGCAATCATGTATGCCAGTACGCAGGGGCGTGCTCGGCCCCCCAACTAGGGGGGTGCACGGGACAATATACAACAAAGATGTGAATAACACAATTCAGTAGTGACTGTGGCGTGTGGTATTGTCTGGGATTGGTCTATAGCAAATGCTTCTCGCCCTACATAGTCAAACTGAAGCTTGAATGAAGTCGATAAACTCATTTTGGCAACAATGCTGAATCTGACTTTCAAGTTGAATATGCAAAATCCGTCACAAATTTTGTTTCTCATGGAGAAACGAGATGGTAGACATAAAAATCTATTTTTGTAGAGCCTTCCTAATTCCTATGGCCTTGAAGAGCAGATAATGACCATAACATGGACCATGTTATTGTCTCGATTCTCCACTACTCAAACAAGTCTAAAGTCCGGTCTGCTGAAATATGCGTTTTGCCAAATCACATTCTGGGCTACCTCGGCCTCTCACTGGTCATATGTTGTGGACATTTCCCAAAGGAGACAGTATTGTAGGCCCCTCCATAGCCACTTTCAGGATTTTTGAAGCATTATCAGCTGGAATTTTACGCCTTTTATATAATAGTGAAAAATCATTGAATTTTTGCCAAAAAAACATAGGGACAATAACACCCCCATAGCTGGGGAACAACAGAATAGACCTATCCTTGAAACACCTCAGACCAGTCCTCTAGGTGTCTGGTCATCTGAAAACACACAGCCGACGCCGACGGTACGGGATGTAAGAGGTCGTCGGGAGGGCGTAGGGTGAGCTGTAAAATCCTGCACGATTCGTACGACACGACATGCAGCAGTCGTTGCGACGTTCAACGTCGAACGGCGCGAGTCATAAGGCACGGTCCGTGACGGGGTGACTTTCGGTCGTTTCGGACCTAATTTCTCGTTTTTCGGGACTTCTTTTCAATTATTTCTCCTTGAAAGAAGCGGAATCAAGTTCACAATACCAGTTTTTCATGAAGACCAAAAAAATTAGCCCTGAAAGTTGTGGCATTCAAATAATAATAATTATTATTATTATGCACTTACGCGTCAATGTCAGCGGTGGTAAACCGCCCACAAATTCGCACGTGGTGAATGGACTTGGAAAATGAAAATAAAAATAAAAATAAAAAGAGCAACGACAACAGAAATAGAAATACAATAACAAGACGTACATGTACCTGCTAAGGGGCACATGACAGCATTGCTCAGATTGAACAGAGGATGCAGACACAGAATAAAGGGCATTGTCGACTCCTTTTTGAGAATAATCCAGTAAAATGGTGGCAGGTGGATGCAAATCCACGCACTACGTTAAGAGAGGAATTTTGTTGATACTTTAAAAAGATGTTAATTATTATTACCGCAGCAGTTATGAAAAGCAGTATTGTGATATTTCGGAGCAATTTTGGTTTTAGTCGTAGACGCACCTATTGGACTTGCAGACGCCCTTGCAAAGGTCAAATAATAGCCCCAGGAAATGATAGAATAGTTCGTCTGTCACGCTTCTGAACTGTCCCTAAATACAATGAGTGACATGAGATCTTATGTTTCTAAAATTCAACTCAAGTCGTGCTAGCCATTCTGTGAGTTATCATGGCAAGCGCAGTGTTCGAAATGCTAAAAATGTCCAAGTACGAATCGGGAGTAGTCGGCGCACGACGCCGTCTCCTGTTCATACTCGAATTGCAGCCGTTTTGTACGCTTGCGTCTACGCCCGTCTACGGTATGAAAAGTTGGATCGATCCAACTCTTCCCATCGCATCCCGATCTGTACGGCAGTACGGTTGCGTTCCCGTTCCTGGTGTTTACATTGGACGCCGTCAGACGATCCCGTCGCTTCCTGTCGATCCTTACGTCGCGTCCCGTCGAATGTGAACTAGGCTTTACGGCCAGCTTAAGAAGGAACAAAAGTTGCTAATATCGCAACTCAAAATGAGCGAGTTGTGCATAATGATGCCAAAAACAACCCAAAAAGGAGTGGAAATAGACAACGCTGTGGCAGAGCACAGCTGCATGAGTACTTTGAAGTACATTACGAATGCACGAGTTCATGGAGTAAAACATCTTAGCTTAGGAAAATGAACAGACTTGGAATGAGTCATTGTCCTTTTTGCTTTACCTTCACACAGCATTCATGACATACATGTACATGTACATATAGTGGCATCGCTCCGCACTGCCACATACATGTACTTCGAGAAGTACACTTGTCGTGATGATTTGATGCAGTTCCCGGTATATAATGTTTCCGCGCTTCTTGTTGAAGCGGAGCATCACGGACACTTCAATGGTCTCCTCCAGGGCGCTTCTCTGCTCATGGTTGCGGAAAAGGTGCCCAGTAGTTTTCGAATTGAAGAAAGTTGCGAATATATCGACATGCGGATTTCGCTGGCATCCCAGGCATACGGTAGTATGTTCAGCCTCTGGCTGCGGCGCAAGCATGTGTCAGAAAGGTCCAGGCTCAAGCTGTACAGCTCGCTTGTGCTGCCTGTCCTCCTTTACAACTGTGAGACTTGGGGAGTAACCCAGGCAGTCTTTCAGCGACTGGACTGTTTTCACCGCCGACAGCTCAGAAACCTGGTGGGAGTGCGATATCCAGACAGAATTACGAATGATGATCTGTATTCCAGATGTAACTCGCAGCCACTGTCGGAGCTTGTTGCCAAGCGACGCCGTAGCCTCACTGGCCATGTGCTGAGGATGAGTGAGCAGTCCCCCCCTTGCCTTGCGATGTCCTGCTATTTTCAAGCGGGGTCACGTGGACGAAGGGGCCGTCCCGCGGCTACTCTCCCTACCACCATCATGAAGGACCTGGTAGGCACGACATTCCTTTGAAGAATGCCAGCGACCTAGAAGGAGCACGAGCACTTGCTGCAGACAAGTCGAAATGGAGATCAGACATTGTTTATGGATGAGTTTTTTGTTGACTGGAGACAGAAGCGGACTTGGCTTAATTTCAGTGTATTCTCATGCATTGTTCTTTGGCCTTTGTACGCGTGCTGTGGTATTATTATTATTATTATTATTATTATTATTATTATTATTATTATTATTATTATTATTATTATTATTATTATGGCAGCCGAAGCAGTGGCGGCGGGGCAAGAGCAGCTAAACCGACCAGGGGTCTCGGCCTCAGCACTGCTCATGCGCGCCAAACAGAAAAATACGGAAATAGAAAAATGAGCAGGAGCACTGCAGAGCAAATGTGAAATAAGGGTGGCAGCACGGTCACGGAATGTTGTTCAATGGGAGGAAAAAAGTTGAGGTTCAGGTACACCATACATTGACTGCATACGCCCAGCAGCAGGTATCCGAAATCATACACACACGCACGTACGCGCACTTGCACACACGCACACACGCACAGCCACACACACACACACACACGGAAGTATTACACACACACACACACACACACACACCATGTGCTAAGTTATATAACAGCAGCAACAATTCATGGGCGAGGTGGCAGCAGAATGTGAAGTGACTATAACAGCTCTTCGTGAAAGACTGAAAACATTACTGGAAAGATACAGAACTCGTAGAAACATAACGCCTGATGGGCAGGCACGAATCCAAGAGGTGAGTAATAATTAAAGTCCCGTAGATCTACATGGTATGTATACGCTATGCTCGGGGAGAGAGGTGCGCTATCACAGCATCACAATCACCAACTCTTGCCATGCCAACTTAAACAGCATCACTTACAATGACGAATGACAGTATGGTAAGTCTCACATCATTGAAGTTGTCTGTACAGAGTCCATAGAACGCAAGGACACCTTCCTCGCAGAGGATACCTCCAGCCCATTTCTCACCCGTAGATTCCTTTTGGAAGGACAAGACATGCTTCTGACGATCCGCTGTCACCTTGATACATTCTCCAGTATTCCGGAACTTGATATGACTCCTGACCTCGCACGTTTGCTTCTCTAGTCCACTAACATACTCTAGTGGATTGCAAACACCAACTGAGAGATAGGGAGCGTTGAGGTCAAAACGGAACTTAGCCGTTGCTACTGTCCCAACTTGAATATACGGCTCGACACACACACTTCGATAGGTCGCACCACGGCGCGTCCAGTAGATTGTGCGATCGTCGTTCGTTAGCACCAGTTTTGGGTGACATTGGCGAAGGCTGAATTTATAATTCTTGGCATTGGAGGCAGCCTGAGAGTCTTCAGGGTCCGAATCAGCTGCTTCTATGCTTCGAATCTTCCGCAATACCTCGACCGCAGTATCCAGGCAATTCGACTTGAACATCGGCATTTCAAGACCAGTTAACGGCTGCGTTGTCGCAGCATCCTTGTCCTCTTCGGTCATTTTCCCCAGTAACCACGGATGAAGTCTCAGGAAATCGATGTCTTCAGTGCTGGACTTAATCAAACCATACATTCGTGTAAGGCGTGTCCTCTTCCTTTTCAGCTTCTCGACACGACGTTCCAACACACTAGACTGCTGCCAGTACTTGCTGTGCGCTTCTCTCAGCAGCTCATCACAGCGCTCTTTCGATAACTTTTCCAACTTCGCGAACGCCGCAGTGATATCTGAAGACAAAGCACCATACGTATCGGACAGCAACTCCGTTGAAGCATTGGCTGCTGTTTGAGCAGTGCTGATTATGTTCAGGCGTTTTGTGCCTTGCTCCGATACTTTCTGCTTCAATCCTCTGCGCGCATTACGTGCAGCATCAGCGATGGGCATCACTTGGTCGGAATTCTGAACATGGGCTTTCCTGTGGGTGGCTCTGCAGGTTTCGCATAGGAATTCCTTGCATTCCGTGCAGTACCATTCAAAACTTGCATTATGAATCTTTTGATGCAGCGAGCATCTACTAGTTTGAGATGTCTGCTCCGAAATGTTGCTGCTGGTTGCTGGATCCTCACAAATACGCTCAGTTCTGTGACTTTTGGTGGATTTGGACTTGAGGTGAGCCTTGCCATGATCTGTGCAATAGAACATGGAGCAGTCATGGCAATTGAACGTAGCTGCTTCTTCCTCATCACATTCCTCACACACAACACGTGCAGATCTGGTGCTGGATGAAGAGTCGGCACTAGCAATAGCACCGTTCTCCAATGGAGCTCTGGGTAGAGATTGCAACTGAGATCGCCTAGGACCCGGAGAGGGTGTGATCTCCGCGCAGTTCGGACAATGAATTGTGTTGTCGTCTTTGATATGTGGCTCAACACACAGCGCACACAGCGTGTGCAGACATCGAATAAGCCTACCGTCCCGTGGTGGCTGATCACACGAAGCACATTTAAAACCAGCCATCGCTTGTTCCTTCTCCATGACCACCGCAGAGGCCGCCATCAATAGCTGAGCTTTCTCAGCAAATTTATAGTTCCGTTCCCCCAACGTGTCGCGGGTCTCACTTCCAAGTTCCTTTTTACGTACATATATTTGGTATAAGGCTGCACAGTGGAAGATCATCAGTCTACTTTGCTCGGCAAGTACAGAGGACTACGGCTGCTGGTGTGTGAGCAAGTGAGGCCTTACTTGTACTCATTCAAAGTTGTAGCGTTTGTGTTGGCCCTCTCTGAAGTCTGTAGTGTTGCCTGGTTGTGTTGGACGTTTTTTGCACGTACAGTCCGTACACTTAAGACTTTTAAAAGTAGATCTACATGAGTTTGTGCTCAATCAAGTACCGGTGCATACATGTATTATGTGCTGGTATCTGATCAGGTCGAGCAACAACCTTAGTCCCACTCCAAGCCAAGGACCAGTGCTGTACTGGCAATATAGCAGATACATTTTACATGTATACTACCATCTCGTACTTTTGTGGTCGCGGAGGTGCTACATTGTTTTTCTTTATTTTATTTTTTGTTTTGTTATATGTCTGTAAATACAGTCTAATGTCATAAAATACCTGTAAATACCTGTAAATACCTGTAAATACCTGTAAATACCTGTAAATACCTGTAAATACCTGTAAATACCTGTAAATACCAAAATACATTGTAGGTGGTGCACGGTGTCCTGTCTGTACTATCAAGAGTACATAACCCGAGGATTATTTTGCTCTTGGTAGTACTACTAGTAGGCACTTCAGTCACGTGACACGACCTGTCAAAAAGTGCTAACGCTGAATCGCGTACTTGCGTGGCACCACGGAAAGGCGCATGCATAGATCGATCTGTAGCTGCACAGAATCTGCGCAGGGCCTTCTCGTGTGGCGCAGCGTGTAGCTGAGGCCCTCAGCTTTCGTTTGAGCCCACATACGTCATGATGCGGCAATTTTTTGAACTCACGTACAGTTCGAGTAAAATCGGCAAGGATTTTTCGGGCATTTCACTTGATTGCACGCATTTGCCATGTAGCTCATCGTCTTCAGCGTCGTATTTCCTTTCGGAATCAGTTGTCCTCGTTTGTCCAACACTTTGCGCATTGCTGCGCAAGAAGAAATAATGCGAGGTGTTATTGAAAGCGAGCCGCGGCAGGCGTCCTCCCGGCAGTAGTCCTTGTTCGTTGGAGCCCATGCGCATGGCTGCGCAAGAAGAAATATTGCCCGGTGTTATAATTATATTGGAGTCGCATCGGAGCAGTCGTCCTCTCCTGCAGGCAACGAGTAGGACAGTATATACTTCGGCGACTTGACCAAGAGAGCTGACATCAAAACGGCCTGCTTGGAACAAATCGTCAGCTGATCAGCAGGTGGCTTCCAGCGACCAAGAAAAGCATTGACGGTGATATAATACCAAGAATCCAGCACACACTCTATACACAGAATCTCTCATGCTGGAGTTGCTGAAGTTTCAGTAGTCCCAAACATTTGCAAACGATGTTCAATAGTTTGTCATTTCTTTCCGTCAAATACCCGGTAAAATTCTAGTTTGCTCCGTCTGTGGCTCATTGTTCTTCTGTACTCATCACCATGTCAGTACTGTACATGTAGCAACAATGTGTTCTGGCACTGAATTATTGTAGTTACTTTATCTTACCTCAGAGTCTTATCTTATGCTTTTCCAAAGGCTTCTCTGCACTGTTTTCATGCTGTTGCGATGGAGTTGCTATGGAGTTGCCATGGTGACCACACCCGATATCTTCGTCTGAGCTGCCGGACGGATGAAAAATGCGAAGTTTTTCCAAACCATGCTGTTTCTGCATTCATCTGGTTATTTTGACCTGCTTCCAGCGAGCCTGGTATTTTGCCACTATAGACACTGAAGCAAGTCCTACCAATTTCTGATATGCTGCTGGTGCCGTCGAAATACTGAAATTGCCGTTATTCAATTCTCCGACTTTGGATGGCTATATCTCTGTGCCAAGTTATTCTTTTTGCTTCAAATTTTCTGTGGAGTCTTCCTAAACCTATCTGAATCGGATACAAAAAAGAAAAACGAGTATTTCTGGTTTTGAAAAAACCGCCTGAAGTGCCTACTACTAGTTATCTTCGAGTGGACATGAGCTCCTCAGAAAAACAAAATTACCATAAAAATAACATAATTATCGTGCACACTTCGTTGCATACCATTTTCCTTTCCCTGGCTGTAAAATCAAGGTGGGCCAGGGGCGCTCTTGCGAGACGGAAGGTCTGGTGGTACTTTACTTAGCTCACTGTGTAACAGGTCGAAGTTGATATTTGAAGAAAGAGGCTGAGCAGGATCCTGCTCAGCGCTTATATATCAGATAAGTGTGAATATTGTGAGAAGGAAGGTGAAAGTGGGAAGGTAAAAGGTGTGAAGGAAGGTAAATGGGTGAGAACTGTGACACACTGTACTGTACTGAGTTCACGCTACTTGCCTACCACCGTACCGGTATCTTGAGTTCATACTGGAGACGCACGCAGGGCACGCCTCGGATTGCGGAGGGGACACGTGACTTGAGACTCCAGGCCGAACGCTCTGGCCTGGCCTCTTAAATCGTGCAAATGATCTGCTGTCGGTGTCACAATCTAACTTTCGAGGTACCTGCATGTACATGAACTGTATCATACAAAAACATTCCTCACGCAGACGACCGCTCAAGGGACCTTCGAAACGTGGTCTTTGTTACCAGGTGGTCTCCTTATCCAGGGTCATTTGACTGGAAAGAGCATCCCTTGATTCTGGTTCCAGTGGTCTTGTAGGACAGGTGGTCGCCTTATCGGAGTGGTCGCCTTGACAGGTTTCACTGTACTTACATTGTGCATACTGTAGGATCATGGTTTGAGGGCAAGGTGCAAACGGGAAAACTGTACTTCGAAGTACAGTACATGTAGCAGATTCTTCATTCGACCACAGTCACCAGATCATCTGCAGACGACACCACACGTCGCTTGTTGCAGACACCGGCACGAACAGACTGTCAGTTCGCCCGCAACACTAAAAAAAAGACCGAACATTCTCATCTGAATCTCTCTATACTCTTGCTTCTTCATCCCCCCTCGTTGAATAGCCACTAGGAAGAATAATTAAAGATCGTTAGTAAAAACAACGTACAGTTGTAGCCAGCAGAGCTACACGTACATGTACATGTATATTTGCAATATCTCACCAATTTTGAAGCACATATGCCAACAACTATTGCAGCCAATTTCCATTAGATTCCAATTTTGCAGCCGATTTTCTAACAATCAGTTGATTTGCCATGGCTGGCTATAATCGCCCTCACCTCCTCCTTGATTGGCCTTGGCCATGAGTGTGTGCGTAATTATAATTTTGCGGCCGAATCTGATGTATTTTTTGAGCCGAGCGAAAAGCCGAATAGGCGAAAAACGGACCGATTTGGGGAAAAGCCTAGTTTTCGTTCCCTTCTCATCACAGGCTCTTGCAGGGAATTATGTGAAATGACTAAAACAGCAGTAACATGTACAGGTACATGTACATGTACATGTACCATGTACACAATCTGCGGACAGAACTGTTTCGTCCTTTGTGGACTCGTCAGCGCAGCACAGAGGAAATGAGGCCGAACCTGATAGCAATGGAAATAAAAATTTCCAATCAGGCCCGAACGCACCTTGCCAGAGTGCTCAAACTGACAAGTCAGTGAGCTCTGCATAACGCAAACAGCAAAGGCACTACCCCACGCAAGAGTGCTCAACTGCTACAAGAGCAGGAGCGAAATACTCAATCTGCGGACAGCATGCTGTTATACATGTACATGTACATGTACCAACAGTCTGTTCTTGCCATCTTCTCAGATTTGTGTTGGGTTTCAGTTCCCGTTTAATATGGCAAAACAAAGGATTGGATTGAGTCTTTTTCTTCAGATTCTTGGCGTTTTGCTCATTTTTTTGTATAGACATTTTGTGTCATAATATTATGATTGTAAGCACATTTGCTTTGCCCGTACAAGAGGCTTTTCTGTACACGTACAGTATATAGGTAAGGAATTTTGGGGAGATACATGTACATCACGCTACAAGTGTGAAAATGCAATTGGGACAAAAACAGCATGACAATTATTACAAGGGAATGGTCTCAAACTGCGGAGAGTGCTCAATGCAAGCGAGGCAGAGCTTCATCACACACAAGCAGAAAAACCGTCAGAGATCCATCTGATGATTCGTTGCTTGAACGGTGAAACACTGTGTAATGGAATTTGATCTCTGACGGTTTTTCCGCTTGTGTGTGACAATTAATATAAAAATAGCACTAACACATCGAATGTATCAATGAGAAACATTCTACTAATGTCCTGTATACGTTGGTAACGCTACGGCCAGCTGAAGAAGGAATGTGCGCCGCACAGTGCAGGACGCCCAGACGCCCAGACGCCCAGACGTGGTTCGGCTCGAGCATTGTATACATGTATGCCCTTTAGCCTTTTCCCCAAAGATGCCAACAAGTTTCGCAACTTGTGCTTTTCGCAACCATGCCAAAACAAGTTTTAACTTGTTTTGGCATGGTTGCGAAAAGCTTTTGAGCTTTTTCTGAAAATATGGATGCGATTTCAGCAACTTTAAAAAGTTGCTGAAATCGCATCCATATTTTCAGAAAAAGCTCAAAAGTTACTAATATCGCCACTCAAAATGAAGAAGACCCCATGCATGACGAGGAGGTCGAGTTCCGGCGGCAAAGCGCCTACTTCATGAAGAAGTGTCTGACCATCGTGGACCAGTGCTTGAGTTCGTCCGACGGCAGCACCAGCACGGAATCGTTTCTCAGCGCCGACGATTCACCTCCTGAGCTAATACCGGACGTGGATAGGAGCAGCCCTGTCGATGACGTAATGCTCTCCTCATCCCATATTCACCTGCAGAAGTTACTCGAGGAGATCGTGGTACCCGAAGCAGTGCTCCCGGGGCTGCCCTGGTGCGGCGAAGCATACGATGACGAAACTAACATGGGCAGTCCGAGCGTTTCAGCCTTTCATTTGCCCGCGAT